CAGCACACTGTATCTCGCTATAGGCAAGAAAGGGGAGAAAAAAACAGTAAAGAAAATAAGGAAACTGTAGTGAACCTCTGATAAACCACACAAGTAACACAAGTATTACTAGCATCACTGCATGGCTGCTAAACTGAGGCAGGAAGACATTGCTGATTCCCTCTCTAGATCAACACACATTCATTCACATACAGTGTTACTTCCTCTTTGGACAATGTCTTAACCCACTCTCATTTCAGAATAAGGTGACTCATATTTCCTCACTAATTTGGAATAAGATGTCCATAAACTGAAGACACTGATTATATTTTGCAAAATGTTTTGTATAAAAATCATAAAATTAGCTTAGTCTTTAAACAACAAAGACTAATCTGACAGCATATCGAGCCTGTCACTAAACGATTACCTCAAGATGCATTTGTACAATACATTTAGTATGACACACCCAACTTGTGGTGTCAGAAACACAATGCATTCCATAAACGGGAGCACTATGGAAACATTCTCAACCAGATTAAAGCCTGAAGCAGGGAATGACAGGAATTGTGTAAATTGTGTGAGGTTTAATTATCAACTACAATTAGTCCTTACAACACCAGAAAAATATACATGAACTAGGTATCTGAGAATGTAAAGAGATAAAACAAAGCCAAATATTAAGTTTGACTCTATTGTTGTCTAACTAATTCATGTTCAATTAAGACAGGAATGTCATTAGGTTTAACATTTATGCATTGTATAAAGTTATATCCTTCACTTCTCTACTGCCCTCATTTATTCACTCTTAAGTTGTTCCAAACCTGTTCGAGTTTCTTGCTTCTGTTAAACACAGAAGAAGATATTTTGAATAATGCTGGTAACCAAACAATGGGCCTCATTCATGAAACATTCGTAAATAGGAGTAAATTCTGAGTCATTTGCACATAAAACGGACCTTCCCGAAAACACTCCTCCGAATTTACAAACGCTCCGTACACATCATATTTGATAGTTAAACATGTGTATGTGTGAAATCCAATAATTCGTAAATAGGGCGCTCGTGCACGCTCATTCACAATTAGCATAATCCCCGCGGCTATGAGTTATAGCTACGCATGTCCAGGAACGTAGTGGAATATTCTGGTCTACTTTCTCAGGTTTTGCACCAGTATATTGCATAAATGCAAAAAACACTAATAGGCCATATGCCTAACAATAAATATTCAATAACGTGTGTCCACCAAAGCGTTTTTAGCCAGCCGAGTGAAGTAAATAGTTCTTTATGAATGGTCCATTGAATCATTAGGCTTGTTCGACTTGAAGCGGATCATCACCATCAGACCGATCGGTGTGTGACATCAAAGTACCGCAAGAGCAGACAGCTCCTTATGCTTTTGAATCGCTCTCGCGGGCCTTTGATGTCATACACCGATCGCTCTGTGCAGCGCTGCTTCAAATCCAACGCGCTAAATGGTTCACCCAATTCGTTCAAAACGTGCATTAAGATATGAAATGCCGCTGTGTGTTGCTCGGAGACGAACAGTTCTACTTTGTCTTTATATTTTCGTTGGCAAAATTAAGCAAAACAGACAACATTGTGTCTAAAATAACACAATATTAACTTCTTACTTACTGAACTCTTGTATAAGATCAGTATCACATTTGCACTCGTGTGATGCACTTAGCCTATTGCTTGTGTGATATTGCTTAACTATATGATGTAAATATGAGACAAAAACTCAAACTGGGGCATTTTTGCCCCATATCTTGAATTTTAGGGACATTCTAACTACGTTCTCTAGGCTCCATCACACAGTGAGTTGTTGCCCTGCCCTGCCCTACCTCATATGTCATCAATCGACTGTATGAAATGTCAGATGACACACATAGTTCTGGGGCGGGGCAAGTGCGTTAAATGCGTTAATAATTTTAACGCGTTATTTTTCACCGTAATTAATTAATTAAATTAACGCGTTAAATTACCAGCCCTAGTATAAATATAACGATCAGTATACTAAACATCGCACATCCTGCGATGTGACTATAGCGGATGTGCACATCGCGATATCGATGCTGTAACGATATATCGTGCAGCCCTAATTACTAGTATCTCATTTTGAAGAATATTACTGAATATAAAAATGCAGTAACCAGCAATATTAACTTCTCTATTGTTATTCAGTTGTTGTACAAGTAGGATGATTGGTCGGTGTAGTATTTGTCCCGCCCCTCCTCCATTGATTGGACGGCTGGGTAAAAAGTGACAGTAACATGCCGCATTCACGCAATATCGTAATTACCGTAATTTCGAGATGACAGCACGTGACGTTCTACTCGGAGCTGTTCACGTCCTCGGAATTATGCTTTTCTATGGCAACACTATCAACGCCTAAACAGAGCCTGTGGTGGGCAGATGGTACAGCGGTCACGTGGTACAAGTCGTAGCTCTCAGAAAACTCCCAGTTCACAAGTTGTAATTACGAGTTCTACGAGGACGTGAACGCTTTTTACAAGTTGGAATCTCGTAATTACGGGAATTCCGATATGGCGTGATGCACCTACAGTGACATGTGCTGCGCTGCGTTTTACCCAAAGTTAAACAGTTTATCAACTCTCAGCTACAAAAAATAAATAAATAAAATAAAATAAAAAAACTTGTAAAATATTATAATGGCAGTGCATTAAAATTCAGTGTCATCAGTTTGCCAAAATGAACACAGAACGTTTTACGCACCATTTACACGTGGTAGGGAGCAGGTGTAAATTTCTTTCGTACCAACTAACATTTTGAAAATACAAACATTTTCATGAATTCGAAAGTTTACGTCAGAACAGCTTTACGAACGATTGACACAAAAATTCGTTCTGCTTGTGTTTCATGAATGAGGCCCAATGTGTGGTCCCCATTGACTTCCATAGTATTTTTTCCACTAGTTACCAACATTCTTCAAAATATCTTCTTTTGTGAATTTCCATTTTTGGGTAAACAATCCCTTTAAATGTGTATAATTGTATCTCTGAACTCAAATGACCTTTCAGGTCTCATTTTGTCAGTCTGATGATATGCACCACAATGTGCAAGAAACAGGCCGAAATAAAGAAATTTGTTACCCTGTTTTAAAGAAAAAAAAAGTGTCAATGCTGGTAAGGTTTACATCACATGGTAATGAACCATAAGAACAGACCTGGAATCAGTTAATGCTGGAGTTCACCATTAAATTTAAATCTAATGGAACACTACATTAGATGTTAGTCAGAATGACTCCCAGTCACCATTCACTTTCATTGTATGGAAAGAGATGCATGGATGAATGGAGACTGGTGCTGCCAGTCCGTCACAACATCTCCTTATGTGTTCCACAGATTAAAAACAAAGTCATAAATGTTTGTAAAGACATAAAGGTAAATAAATCATTACAAAATGTACATTTTGGAGTGTACCTTTAAAGGTCCCATATTGTACACCTTTCTGGAGTTTTATTTGAGGTTTTGATGTCCTTAAGAATATATATTTGCGGTAGGGCTGCACCATAAATCGCATGCGATATTTAATGCGCATCTTGTCAGAAAGCCGGTTCTGTAATCAGCGGTAAATCTCCATCACGTGCGTGCTTTCACATTGAGCAGCATTAACTACACAGAGCCGTTGTTCACTGACGAGCTGCGCTGCACATGATGGAGATTTACCGCTGATTACAGAACCGGCTTTACTGACAAGATGCGCGTTAAATATCGCATGCGATTTATCGTGCAGCCCTAATTTGCGGTATAAGTACCAAAAACCATCTCAATATATTTTTACAGCTCCTTTCTCAGGAGCTCTGCAAAGAACAGGTCGATTTTGGTCTGTCTAATTAATATTCATGAGCCTCTCTTCTGATTGGCCTGTTGTGTTCTGAGTGACGCA